ATTTATATAATTTACATAAAAAGTTTTTAAATAAGATATATATATATATATATATATATATATATATATATATATATGATTTTGGATCAAAACTTTGAACTAATATCTTTTCTGATTTAATGTATGGTCCAATTTTAACTACATTACAAGCCATATATCATGAAATATATTAATCATTCTAAAGAATACCGATCTTTTTTATTTGTTTAGAATAAAAAATATTGTTATTCACTTTAAAATAGTTTTATTAATATCAAAATTTTAATTTATAATAAGATGTTATTACTATTTTGTATCACTTATACTTTAGAGATATTATTGTAATAAATTTTTTTTGAGTATCTGATGAAAGAAAAAAAAAGTAACCTACTAATCTAAAAATAGAAAAAATATATCATTTATTAATATGAAAAATATATTTATGTATACAATAATATATATTATTAATTAAAATTTATAAAATTAAATATTTATGAGTAATGAAAGAGAACAAAAAGCATTGGAAATGGATTATACGTTTTTGAGTATTTAAACTATAAAATTAAAGATGTCAAATTCTAAATTTATGATAAGATATTAGTATTATTTTGTACCACTTATACTATCATGTTATTATTATAATAAAAAAGTATTATTTTTTTATTATTTCATGAAAGCACAAAAAATATAATAAAAAAATTAAACTAGTATTCTAAAAAAATGTCATTTATTAATATGAAAAATATATTTATTTATACTATAATATATATTACTAATTAAAATTTATAAAGCTAAAATAAATGTTGTATAAATGTATGTCATTGATATAAACAATGAAAAATATATACACAAAATAAATTATTCTTTAAACTCTAAAAAAAATTTATAATTAAATTACTCTTTATAAAATCAATTTTTTTAATGTCATTAAATTTATGAACAATAAAAGGAGAAAAAAAGATACCCGAAATAAATCACATTTTATGAAAATATCTATCACATTAATGTGTGTCATTAATGCAATTATAAGATAATATAAAAAAAAATATTTAATTACCTATTAAATTAATTTAAAATTAAATATTGGTATACGTTTCTTATTAATTAATTTAAAATATTTTCAGTTTTTTTTTAGTTTTAGTAAATGAAAGATGATACAATTTCAATAATGTATCTTCTCACGAATACATAAAAATATACGGAAAAAATATAGAAAAAATGTTTGATTGATTCAAATAAAATTAATATATAGTTTGTTTCATAATTATATATGTACCATATATATTAGATAAAAAATTTTAACACGAATGCACATTGTATCGTATATATTTGATAAATATTTTATTACAAATATATCTTAGAAAGGAATTATTATTAAGATTAGTTTGGTCTATTATTTCTTTTTTATTTGGCCCCTTTTGTTATATGGGCATTGTAGTCTTCTATTTAATAGGTTTGATTGTATTCTTGTATATACATATTAAATAATATGATTGCATTTCCTTTCCACCATTTCAATTTGCACTTTCCCGCCATGACTTTCTTTATCTTCATTCATCAATTCATTGTAATATGGTATTAGTAGAACAAACCCTTCCTTCCTTCATCTCCTATATTTATCTTCGTCTTCCTATCCAGTTCTTATTAAAACCTACTCTCTTCCTACCATGGCTCCGACGACTATCTATTTGTTAAAGAAGCTTCCGCCAAACCTACTTCTCCCAATAATGATATTCAAGATCCAATTCTGAATCCCCGCAACCCCTTTTACCTTCATCCTGGTGAGAACTCATGCGCTATCATCGTCCTCCACCTTTGGATTATCATAATTACCACAATTGGAGTAAATCAATGCGTCGCGCCTTGACCTCCAAGAACAAGACTTCTTTCATCAATGGTAAACTCTCTAAACCATCTATATCTGATTCCAACTACGAGCTTTGGGATCGTGCCAACCGTATGTTCCTATCTTGGATCAATCGAACACTTTCACCGCACATTGCACAGAGCATCATATGTTTCGATTCAAATTTTGTTCTATGGGAGGACCTTCGAGAAAGATTCACTAGAGATAATCATTTTCGCTTCTATGGTCTTCTTCATGATTTGCACTCTATCCATCAAGGGGATCGATCTTTATCTACATATTTTACGGATCTGAAAAATCTTTGGGATGAATTAGAGGATTTAAGACCTACCCCTTCCTGTACTTGCCATAGCCCTTGAACTTGTTCCTTGTCCCAAAATCTTTCCATTGATTCCAAATCCTACCCTAATTGGTCTTGGTTTCTCATACAAAGGTCCAACCCAATGTGTCATGGTGAGTGTACAATGGATCATGCATCAAAAGCATGTTCTGATCTTTGCTTGTCCATAAAGTCATGGAAAATGATCTAACAATGTTTGGAGGTAGCTTGTAGTGATAAGCAAAAGGTTAAATTGCAAGCCATCCGAGTATGCCTCACTTGTACCTTCTAGTTCACTTTATGAAAAAATATCTTTAACCATTGGATCATGATTCACCCCTTGCCCAAACTATTACAACTTGATCTGAGTCATTCCTTTTATAAATAAGATCCCTTATCGGAAGCAAAAAAACACACAACAATCTGAGCTAAAACCTTCTCAAATCATAGTCTCTTGCATTCAAACCACATTGTTCATCATTTGCATCCAAACCACAAAACTTCACACAGTCATAAAACACTCAAACAAACTATCCTCACACACCATAAATCACCTATTGAAGTTGTCTAAACCATCCATAACATCATAAAATCTCAGAATCAAAAAGTCAACTCACATTTGCTCATTTTGTTGACTTTTGAGCCAAAATACCTTAACTTTTCATTCTCACTTGAATCCATTTGATCATTCAAACATCATCCACGAACATCATAGCAACTGTCCAAAGCATTACATTCCATCTGTAACACCATTTTCATCAAGATCAATTTCTCATTTTTCACAATTGCAAAAGGAATCGTGTAGGAAGGTGGGAGTTGTTTCAACACAAACCAAGTATCCTAAAAGCATTCTAGAGGTCTAATGAAGCTAACTGCTTCATCACACATCATTTAGAATTGTTGTGTTCTTTTGATTTACAAACATATTTGTCATAATGTAGAGATAATTTCTCCTATGCTACTTATTGTGTATCTATGATGTATATAGTTTCATTGAATTTTCATTTTAGGGTTCTTACTAGTTTTAGTTTCATTGAATTCCTCGTTAAAATCCAATAAATTTTCATTTTTACATTTTTTTGATTTGGTTGAGTATTAAGGAAGTTAGCAAGTTTGAGAATGTTGATCATGGTGGACACGATTGTGAGGAAGAAGACGAATTTGTGTGGCGTGAAATCTGATTTAAAATTTTATTTTACTATATTATTTATTGTTTGTATCCTTTGTCCTGAATTGACATTGTGTCGTGGTGGATAGAAGTTTGGTTTGTGTGTATTAGTGAGCATAAGATTTTGGGGTTCAAGTCAGGGGTCCAAACCCCATGGAAAGCATTTCCCTTTCTTTTTATCAACTTGTTCCATTTCCTTTTTCTATTTCATTTTTTCCTATTTTTATTTTCTTTAATTATTGTTTATTTGTTTATTTCTTTTTCTTCCCCTTTTATTCTATCAAATATATATTTTTTAAAATACAAAAAAATAATTTTTAATCAAAATGTTGATTTTATTTTACTTTACCATATTAATTAAAAAAGACTAAAAATATGTTGATTTCATCTTGATTTATTTCTTTCATTGATTTTTGTGATTGATTTTCTTGAAGTATTGTCTTGATGCCTTGTTGTCTTGAAGTGTTCACTTGAACATGATCTTATTTTGAAGACTTATATCATGTTTAGGTGTTACTTTCTTTAAAAAATATTTTAATTAAATGGTTATCCATATAAAACTTTAGGGTTTTATTTGATTATTTTTGAAAATATTGTCATGTGCATTAAATAAATTTTTACTCATTTTTAGATGACTAAAATAATTCTCAAAAATTATATTAATTATTTTATTTATTATTCAACAAATTTTTTTCACGGATTTAACATGAATGTGACATGATATTTTAGTAAGAGTGAGTTTGGACCCATAGTAAGAGGGGATATATTTCCTAGGAAGAGATGTTTGCTTAATATGTACTATTGTTAATAATAATAAATTAATAAACCAATTTTAATTAATAAAATGAAAGTGAGATCTCGGTAATTACACAACCAACTTTTGACCTAAATAAAAAGTCATTGAGACCAACAAAGTCAATTTCCCATGTAAAATATATGTTAAATTTATAATAATTTTTCTTTTAGAATAAAAATTCCACAACATGTCTACCAAATGAAAGGGAAAAGAATTGTTCTTAAATTGTAGTAATTGGTTTGCACAAGACAATAGTGGCTTTATCTTTTTTCAAAACACTCAAAGAATTAGAGAAATATATAATAAACAATGCACCCAATACATCAAGGGAAAGCATATTTGCAGAGCTAATTTCATCAATATGTTAGTTACATCTTTTCCCTACTCTCTATATTTAGACTGAATATTATTTTATATTTACGTTCACATTGTTTTTCTATTAATTATTTAGTACTTTTCTGACCATACATTTACATAAATAATGGGCGTGACACACTCATTCACTCATTTTTTCCAATATAACTCAATGGAGGAGCTAGAGTATATTCCTTGAGACCGTATATTTTACAAGTTTTATCAAATTTAGATGTATCATCAAATATTGATTATGACTTTTGATAGTAGTAGTTGTAGGTTGAAGCCATATTGAGTAAAAAGTAAGTGGTGTTAGTTAACCTTCCTTTTTTGTTGATCACTTTCAGCTTAAAACTTCCAATTGAATTGTAAATTGTTATTGCCCAGTTCAAATGACCCATTTATTTTTTAACATTCAAGATTGGATGAAGTATTTAATTTCTGGATGTCATTCTGATAAACTCCGGACATAAGTTGCAATTGCAGGGGGCATGTTTTATATGGTGAATCGATACCAATGAAATATGACATAGGCCTGAAAAATTGCCGTGAAGATTTTGATATTAAAATTGAACCAACTGAAGTGACTAAGCACATTCTAAGATGTGGTGAAAATGAGAATCAAACCGAATTGCTTAATGAGGTATACAGAGCAGGTTCAACGAGATTGTTGCAGTCCTGTCCTTTAGCAGAAACTAGGACACCAGTGAAGCAAAACACTGTGCTACATATTGCAGCTTGGTATGGCAATGATGACATTGTCGCAATTGTAATCGAACGTGCTCCAGATCTTTTGTTTACATTTAACAAAAATAATGATAGTGTCTTGCACGTTGCTGCAAGAGGTGGACACACGTCAACCATTAAAAAGCTATTAGATGGTTATACTAATTCTGAACGACCTGATATAAAAAAAGCATGGTATAAATACGAAGTTATCACTTTGGATTTGGACTATGATGCAAAGTCAAACATGGAACATCTATTAAAATTTGTGAAACAGAAGAATGATCAAGGTAACACTATGTTTCATGAGGCAATGCTATGTGACAAGAGAAGTATTGGCGGGGATATGATTTTCAAAGCATGTGAACAATACAAAACTGAAGATTGGGATGAGCAGTCATTATCAAGTTGTTGCTATAAATATGCATTAGAAGTTGTTAACAGAGCAAAGCAATCAGTACTTTACCTTGCGGTTAAGAATGGGGACAAGGATGCAGTCAAACTAATCTTAGACAACTACCAAAAGGATGAAGCTTGGCCGGTGGGGCTATCACCCATTGTAGCAGCAATCATGATGCGGAATCAAGGTAATCAAATATTGCAGTTGATATAAATTAATTGTTGCTAAGATAAATATAGAAATGCAAGCATTTTAGGTTTTGTATCTTTTTAATGAGGTAATATTGATTTTTATGTATGTGATCAGAAATGATGAGGATCATACTACAAAAAATGCCAGATTGGATCCATTCAATGGACAAACATGAAAGACTTCCTATTCATTATGCAACATCGATAGGTTATCTTGAAGGTGTTGATTTATTACTTAGAATATGTAAATGTTGCACCAATCGAAAGGACAAATATGGTTATTTCCCAATTCATCTAGCATCTTATGGAGGTCATGTGAATGTAGTGAAAAAGTTGTTAGAAATAGAATATTGTCCTGATCCAACAGAGATGCTTGATACTTCTTATGAGCGTAATATTTTTCACATCGCAGCGAAAATGGGAAACCATGAGGTTATACGCTACATACTACAAAGTGATCAAATCGGTGAACTTGATAAGAATTATATGATAAATCAAAAGGATATAGAAGGAAATACACCTTTGCATCTGGCTGCAAAATCATGTCATCCAAAAACTGTTTTCTATTTAACATGGGATGAAAGAGTGGATTTTGGTCTGGTCAACCAAAAAAACCAAACAGCTCTTGAAGTTGTTAATGAAATTTCCCAACTCAGTAGTTCATCCACTAGACAGGCAAGTAGTACTATCATGTGCCACAAAATTATGACATATAGTCATAGTAATCAGTTTTCAGTTAATGAATTTCAATATCTGTATGGATTCTTAGTGCATATTTTGTGAGTCAAAAATTGAGTATACTCTAGGTATTGTTCCTACTATTTTACACTATATGACTATTGTAAATATCTAAACAATTTCATTGGAATGTTTACAGCAACTTACACTCACTGCACTGAATTCTGCTGGCGCAAAACCAAATTTTGAAAGACAAAATGACTCGAGCTCATCAAAATCGGAGCAGATAGATGAAAGTGACTCGAAATCAAATGTGAGTGGCTCAAAGTCTAAAGAAAGTAACGAAAATGTCTACAACACTGCAGACAACTTTTTTTTGACAGGCTCCGACACCCAATATAAAGATAGGGTAGAGACACTCATATTGGTTTCAACCCTTATAATCACTGCTTCAGTAGCAGCATGTTTTGCTGTTCCAGGTGAAGCAGACGGAAGAGCACACAACCTATATCATGTAATGTTCCAATTTTTCATCTTCTTCATCACAATATCATTGTTTAGTTCCATTAGTGCTACTATCATACTCTTTTGGGCAACACTAGGATTGACTAAATTGGTGACTTTCTCTCTCAAAATTGTGATGCCACTTCTTGGAATCGCTCTCACTTCATTAACTTTGGCTTTCATGGCTGGTCTCTACACTGTTATCAGTGAACTTAGATGGTTGGCCAATCTTTTTTTGGTTATGACAGTGATTTTTGTCGTGCTTGTGATTTTGTTGTACACCGTCCTTTTCCTCCCCTCAGCATCAACTAGAAAGTCCATGCGATATATTTCCTACTACCCCTTTCTTTTCCTAGCATGGCTTGCAGAGTAAATTGGATTCTCTGCAACGGCTCCATCTATTTAAATATGTATTGTAACTAGGTGGGGACTCCACATCCAATTAAATAAACCTCACTGATTTTACGTCCCTCTTGTGACCAATATCAATAAATACCCAATATTAGGAGTATTGTATACGTGTACTTTGTTTCTATCTATTTCTATGAATAACACTTTGTATTTATACATTAATGCATAACAAAGACATTTGGGCCATAACTTAGTACTGGAAATTCAAATTAACTACTTTAGAGATTAACAAATTGAAGTATTTGTTTTCAGGAATAGAATAGATTTACAAGTATAAAGTGTGGACTTTTAATGGGATATAAGAGTCATGATTCACCTTAACATTTTCCCCTTCAAGAACACTTTTTATAATTCCTAATGCATTTATATAGGTTCTCGGGTCTCTGCTATAACTATTTAAAGATTAAAGACATAATTCTTCACAAAATTTGAAGAAAAAGAAAAGGATTACGAGAGAGAGGAAAGAGGATACCATGTATGTATACATCTTGATCAACAATGGAAGTGTTTTCAATGGATGATCGCCCTTGAGCTCCACCGTTGGTTCTTCACACTAAAGCACAATTAAGAATAGCCACCACACATAGGTGAATAACAAATCGGTGAAATGAAAATGAGAAAGCATAATAAAGAAATACGGAGTGAGAAAATAATTTTTACCGTATTTGTGAGCGGAGAACATGACGAAAATTCGTTAGAGTTGGGAGAAATGTCATCGTCAATGGAGTTAGGAGTGCTTAACTTGCAAGTATATGAATAAAAGAGGGAAAGAGGAGTGAGTGAAAAAAATGGAGGAAGGGGGAACTGCAAGTATTTGCAGCTTATTTTGCCACGCCATAAATCCTATATTTGAATAGATGAAATGGAATTGACAAAATGCCCAGACTTCAAGAAACTATGTATCGAATTGTACACTCTATCAAGCTTGATGGAATTATACTCGTGTCTCGTTAGATTATCTTTTGCGGAGATCTTATTCTTGGTAAGCTTCCCTGTGAATAAAGATAATTTAAGAGGCGTAATTTTGTTTTTCAAGCAATCTCCCAGGTCAGTTCAGGATCAATCTGGGCATTGTATTTCCAAATGTTATATTCATCTTTCACTGAATAATTATTATTATGATGGAGAATCCACACTCAGCTGTCAAAAACATTTTCTTGCAAAACAATGTTAAGAACAACACTTTTCCACATGCACCTCCTCAAATGTAAAAAGCCTCCTTTACCACCTCCGACCAACACCCTCAGACTTCCGACCTACTCTTCTCATCTCCACAACAAATATGTTTATGTCAAAAGCTAACTGATAAAGTCTGAAACCTAGTACTAAGCCTCCTCCTCTGGCCAAGGTTCGTTACAAAACAACCCTTCTCAGTTACTCAGTCACTAAACATTACAAATAGTCATTTAACCACCAGCCTCAATTCTATCCTTTCTTTGATTCTAGTCAAATCACCCCACAATACAAACACTCTACTACCTCCACCCTTGATACATAAACAGAAGATGTTAAAACTCACCCTCGATAAATAAACAGACAAGGATATTAAAACATATTTGTTGAGTACTAGACGACCCTCCATAAACAAGTTACAGTTGTTGAATATGTTCGATGAGTAACATTATTTATCTGAAAGAAAAAAAAACCCTTCTTTATGTACTCCACAATTAGATACTACCCTCCATATTACTATATTTATAGAACACCTTCTAAGATTTTATTTTCTCTTTTTTCATAATAAGAATGTCCAACTAAATAATATTAATATTTATAAGTTGAATTAGACCTTTTAGAGGTGTATATAGTAGTAAAACAATCACCAATTCACTTCAATAACATACAAAAGAGGCTAACCTAAAACTCTGCATATAGCAAGATTAAATAAACTCTAAAACACTTATTCAATGGCATTCAAAATCACTAACTATATGCTATCAGAAACTTGGCTAACAGATCTTGACCTTTCAAGTTCATCAGATGGATCCCAATCTAATGTAGAGGACTGAATCTTAGACAAAACCATGAAAACCTCAGAAACATTTGGTCTTGAATTCAGGTCACGAGCAACACATCTTTTAGCAATCTCAGCCATTGAATATGCAAGATCCAAAGGGTATTCATCTCTCAAATTTGGATCCATGAAACCTCTCAGTTTCTCCCTTACATTTTCCCCTTCAAGAACTTGATTCACAGTTGAAGACAATAGCTGATCCCCCAAACCATTATTCTTGTCACCACCAACAACTTCTCTTCCAGAAAGAAGCTCCAAAATCACAACACCAAATGCAAAAACATCCATCTTCGGAGTAATCAAACCATTCTCAATATATTCAGGAGCCATGTAACCTTGAGTTCCTATAACATGTCTTGTTAATTGAAACCCTTCATTATCTTCATTCTCCATAACTCTAGCCAACCCAAAATTTGAAACTTTACCTCTAAATTTTCCATCTAAAAGAATATTACCACTTTTCAAATTCTTATGAACATGAGGTGGATTAGCATAATTATGAAGGTAATTAAGTGCATCAGCAACATCATGAGCAATCTGAACTCTCTGAAACCAACTCAAACACATAGAATTCGAATTCTCATAACTCTTATTCTTGTTCTCAGAGTGAAGCCAATCATCAAGAGAGTGATTCTGAGCAAACTCATAAACAAGATAAGTGTTACCTTTGTAGACACAAAAACCAGACAACCTTATAATATTGGCATGGTTAATCCTCTTCAAAATGTTTATCTCCGAAGAAACATCACCTTTCAGAATCTTAACAGCAGCATCATCGCCTTTAAACGAAGCTCTATAAACAGAACCTTTAATCTTGTTCTCTTCACTGAAAAACATGGTTGCATTTTGCAAATCTTGAAACTTGTACTGAGTCAACGAGTCAACTGCATAACGAATCCCCTCCGAAGAAAGTGACCAAGTTTGGGTTGTGGAGGTTGTATCCGAAACCTTGTTGTTGTCGGAATCTAAGAAAGGTTTACCCACCGGTGGTGGTAGTTCCGGTTGCCGCCGCTTCCGCTTATAGAAACAGAGGAAAAACAGAGCAAGAACTACTAAAAGCAAAACAACAACCCCAACTACGACACCAACGATGACCCATTTTTTAGATGAGGAAGAACCACTCTCAGCAGGATTCGCCGGTGGCGGCGGCGGCGGAGACTCCGGCGGTGTAGCTTGTTTGATAATATTTCTCGGTGGCTCGTTTTTGAGAGGGACTAAAAGAGGTGTGAAGTAGAAAATAAAAGCCGTAGGAGAAAGCTCATTAGCTTCAATAACAGTTTGTGGATCAGCCCCGAAAATATCAGCGATGGAAGAAACGGTTTCCCCTTGAGAGATTAAGTAGGTGAGAAGATACTTGATTCCTTGATCTCTCTGTTTCTTTGTGGGACAAGCACATCTGAGAGGAATAGTCAAGTTGAGACCAACAGAGAGGTTTCGAATACCGTAAGGATTCTGAGCGATAAGAGCTTGACAGGTGGTGAGAGCTTGGTAGGTAAGATTCGCGACGGCGAAGTAGGTTTCACCGGCGGTTTTCAAAGTGTATGAAGTGTTGTGCTGGTAGTAGCTATTGTCACCGGAACAGGAACAGGTAACGGGGACGGTTAGGATTGTGTCTGTGGGGATGGTTTGGAGGGTGGAGATGTTGTTGGATTGGGAAACGAGGGAAGGTGAAGCGTTGAGGAGGTTGGAAATGGAAGAGAGAGTGTTGTATGGGGGGTTTGATTTGAAGGTGAGGTAAGATTGACATGAATTGACGCTGTTGCAAATGTTGCCTAATGTTGAGTTGAATGTGTTTTCACAATCGAGTTGTTTGTTGTTAACGTATTCTTGTTGGGAGATTGTGTTTGAGATGAAGGAAAAGATGATTAGTGTTATTAACATTGCCCATGTCATGGTGAGGTTGAAGTTCTTGGGTGGTTTAGGAGCAGCATAGGTAGGGATTTAAATTGGTTAGTTTGTTGTTCATGTTATTGTTGGCGTAGGATATGGGAATGGGATAGTGATGGAGAGGCAGCTAGTCAAAGACGTTTGGGGTTTTATTATCTTCTCTGTGTTGGTTGATATAGCAATAGCTAATAGATATGAACATTTGACTTTAGCTTGCAGAAAACTTAATCTGAATAATTTATGAATTTATGAATAGTTTGTCTTTTTTTTAATTTTAGAGATCAATTAATAATTTAATATACACTTTTAGTGGCCAACTTAATAATGTATGTTTTTTTAATATAATAACTTGATTATTTACTCCACTCATAGTCATGGCTCTGAATAATTAGTATTGAATTGTTCTAGTTTGACTTTAGATGGAACAGAAACAGGATCGACTCGGTCAATTGAGGGGGACGTCTCACACAATATAAAACACGTATAAGCTTTTGTTTATCTCAATTTTATAAATCAACAAAAGAATAAGTGTACAAACATTGATGTTAAATTAATTAACTATTGACGAATGCTAATTTATGTCTTTAGTGTATAAACTCATGTTAGATTAATTATTTATTGGATAATGCTGTTAGGGGCATAACTTAATAATTAAATGTAGAAATGATTTTTAGAAATTGTGTATTGATGTTAACAAAAAACTTATTATTATTTTTTTTATTATTATTTTTTAACATTTAAGAGGTGAGTTTCTTACCACATATAGATTAATATAATTAATTACCTATAAATTTTATTATCACCCATTGCTATTAAAAAGTAATTATTCATGAATTACTTGATTGTATTTTGTTTTTGAATGAATTTCAAATTATGAATCATTCGATTAAGTTTAATGAAATATTTTTATCTCAATCGTTTAACTCTTTAAGTAATATCTTATTAAATAATAACACACTCTGACAAGAATGATATATGGACCATTTCATGATCACTCCCCCGATGCAATCTCCCAAATTCTAAAGTCATGTTGTTCATAATGATCTTTTATTATAATATATTATAATTTGTATTTATTGATTATCAATATTAAATTTTCAATTTTCAATTGGTATGTGTTAATCTTCTTTTTTTTTTTTAATTTAGATTCAAATTATATACGTATTATGCAAGTGTGACGTTTGTAACTATGAGATGCAACTTAAGAGGATGGATTAAATTAGGTTTGTTGAATATTTGACTTTTTTATGCTAAATTTCTTAACTTGTTAAACTTGTCGGGTGCAATGATGGTTATGTTACATATTAAGAAGATTAATGCCGAATTTTTAAAGTGAAAAAAATAAATGATAGGATGATTTATACTAGTTTTTCTTACCAACTTAAGGGTATGTCTGATCCCTCTATTTTTTTTATAGGCTTTTCAACTATGTTTAGATTCTTGTACACATCTTCACCAAAAACTCTTTACAACATTATATAACACACACACACACACACACACACACACATATATATATATATATATATATATATATATATATATATATATATATATATATATATATATATATATATATATATATATATATATATATATATATATATATATATATATATATATATATATATATATATATATATAAATAAAGAAAAAACACTACTTTCTATTTTACAACTACTTATCACAATAACATCGATGACTATATAACATACACAACTTTGTGAATGATTTTGAAGAAGTTATATTATTGGTCTTAATTTTCAAATTAACGCATACAATTGAACTTCTTTTTCTTGAATTATAATTCAAACTATATGTACCTTGAATGCTCAGAATTTTAATGATACTTTTAAGATATGTGAAACATGCAAAGGTTTAAAATTTTGAAATATGAATGAACACTTTAAATGAAAGATTCAATTATGTTAAAATTGAAATGGAAAAGAGGTAAATTCGTTTTCTAGTGTGCGGTACTTTATATACAACTTTAGAAACTTTCATGAGTGGCATAAGTTTTAAAAGATTCCATGAAGTTTTGTCATTCAAAACAATGTCTATGATTAATGAAAAATCACATTGTTTTACGTAAAAATTGATTATCATAGGTGGTAATCGATTACCACAGTTTCAACATTAAAAAATTTGAAATTTCAAAAAATAATAATCGATTACCACAACCTAATAATCGATTATCACTATATTTTTTAGCATAAAAGCATCAATTTTGCAGGTTAACTTCAATGATTTTCATGCATTTTGTTTTAAGAAGTTTGTAAATGAAGATTGAGAGATGTTTTGAGTATCTAAGATAATATATAGTGATTTGTAATGAGTACCTTAAAAACATGTTAATCATTCCAAATCTTTTCTTGATTTTCACTTATTTTCATGACAACTTTATCTTTGATATTCACTTGATATAAAACCTGTTAAGAATGTGTAGTTAGGTCTAACTCAACCCTACGAAACCAGCTAGTAGGGTGAGAATTGTCCCCACTTATAAACACATATTCAGGTAATAGATTATTCGATGTGGGACTTTTAGCACCCCCTCCCACGCCCAGGATTTGTGTCTGCGGTGTGGAACTAAATGGTGGGTGGTCCAATGGATCTTAAACGCAACTCTAATACCATGTTAAGAAATTGTGGTTGAACTTTCTGTCTTAATTGTAGTACGCCCCTAGTCGCCTTAATTGCGGCACTTTGCCTTGCCTCATTTCAGCCCCTAACACCTTTATTGTGTTAGCTTTGAATGGGTAAATTTAGTCTCACGTTGCTTAGAGATATGACATGAGTTGTTTTTATAAATGGAGAAAATCATCACCTTAAAAGTCGGTTTTGTAGAGATGAGTTAGGCCCAACCCAAATTCTGAGGTGGTATCAGATCCTATTCGCCTTAATTGCGGTCTGCCCCTATTTGCCTTAGTTGCGACACTTTGTCTTGCCTCATTGCAGCCCCTAACACCTTCATTGTGTTAGCTTTGACAGTGTGGATTTAGTCTCACATTACTTAGAGATATGACATGTGTTGTGTTTATAAATGGAGACAATCCTTACCTTATAAGTCGTTTTTATGGTGATGAGTTAGGCTCAACCCAAATTCTAAGAAAACCTATTTTTCTTCTTTGATATGTAACACGAGGGGACGGGTTGTTTCTGTCATCTATATTATGTTGCATATCTTTATTTTCTTTTGACATTGAACCACTTTTCAAACTTTTGGTTGTTGAGACTTTTATACCAACTATTTTCTAATTTTTCCGTTGCTTATGAAATGAGTTATTTTTAATTATGTGGTTCAAATAATTGTTATTTGTATGTTGAGTAACATTCTACGTATTAGATTTATGTTTTATTTAATTAATTGACGAGTTAGGATGTAGGGTGTTACAATAGTAACATGAGAAGATTTCCTTCACTTTATCAACATTTGCAATAGGGTTGGGAAGTCGACCCAAAAATGCATGTACTTTATCAAAAACATAAAAAGGAATTTGTACCTGGAATTTCTAAATTAGGGCATTTTCCTTCTCCGTGGATGGCTCAGGAACATAGATTTGGTTTCCAACTGGGAAGGGAACTTTGGCAGCAGCAACAAGAGGGAGTGATGGTTCTGAGTTTAATGAAGACGCCATTTTCAAAAAATGGTGTAGGAACAGTGAAGAAGATGAAATTTTAAAGAAAAATACGCAATTTTTTTGAACTGGAAAATTGAAATGAAGTGAAAAAAAGAGAAAATAGTGAAAGAAACTATATTTATAGTCTGATAAAAGAGACTCTTCATTCCGTTGTTTCTCTTGGGAACATAATCTTCGCCACCTTTAATGGACATGTGTTTATTGGTTCAGAGGTGAATTGAAAAAGAGTGTTTTGTTGTGTGACCCGCTTTCTCCCTATGAATCAAAGCCATGATGAAAAAATTTTGGTGCACGCTCGAATATACGTTTTAATAAAGCAATTATGATGACGGTGACATTAGCCCACTACTCTGAATAGTGTTCGCAGTTTAAAAAAACATTTGTCTCTCAAATGGTCGAAAGTGGTATTTTTTGGGACAATTTGTTAGCTTGGAATTCTCGACGTCTAGAGTACGACAAAGAGGATACGATGAGAACACATAGTGACATGTGCGACAAGATCAACGTTCGACCATAAATGTCGAGTTCGACACATTTGGAGATGAGTTTTTAACTTAGTATTTTTTTTTTCAAATGTTGAGATTGAGTTATCAACCGTGACGATTGAGGCAAAGCAAAAGGATTAGATTGAATAACTGATGTTTAATCTTATCCAAATGTCGAAGATACGTGAAAACATGGTAGAAGATTGAAAACTTCATAGACAATTGTGTGTCGCACAGTAGGAAAATAGTCGTTCTAGATAGTTGTTTTCACATTTGTACATATAGCGGTTCTAGCATTGGGAATCAAATGGCAATATCATTACCAAAACTCTATAGAACTCAAAGTACCCAAGTCAGAGTGAGAAACGAGTTTGTGAGGAAAATGTATGATTCTATACACCAATTTTTCTTTACTTAATTGAAGTAACTTCTATTTTTTCTTTACTTTGTCTTAAATTTATTACTTTTACCATTTATTTTGAATTTCAACACAGTTGAAACCAACAATCTCTTTGTTTATCCTTTTTAGTTTTGTTTACTTTATTAAACACTCAGTTTTAACCTATAACAACAGTCAAGCGTTTGTCTTTTGGAAAATATGCACAAAATGCCCTAGTATTTACTAGTTTGATCCTGTAAGCAATTATTCAAAACAAAGTGATTGTTTACTAAAAACACTGATAAACACATATATTCCAAGAACTTTATGTCGAAATTAAAAATCAGTTTGACACTTTCATTAAAATTTTACGCGCGGATAATGCTCGTGAATACATGTCATCCTAGTTTCAATTATTTTTAACATCACAGGAGATATTCATAAATCACCATGTGCTCACACACCTCAATAAAATGGTATCGCTGAACAGAAGAAATATCA